GTCTCACCATGTGACTGCACAAAAATGAGATGTAATAAAAGAAAAAATGTTTGATGTATGTTTGATATTATAACATGATTTTAGCATTTCCTTTAATCCATCAAATTAAATGGAGAGAAACTTGAAGCAATCCTACTAAAATCAGGGACTAGAAAAAGCTGCCCGCTCTCTCCCTACCTATTCAATATAGTACTCAAAGTCTTAACCAGAGCAATTAGACAACAAAAGGAGGTCAACAGAATACAAATTGAGAAGGAAGAAATCAAAATATCACTATTTGCAGAGGATAGTATAAGTAAGTGACCCCAAAAATTCCATCAGAGAACTCCTAAACCTGGTAAACAACTTCAGCAAAGTGGCTCAATGTAAAATTAACTCACACAAATTAGTAGCCTTTCTCTACGTAAAGGATAAACAGGCTGAGAAAGATACTATGGAAATGATACCCTTCAAAATAGTCACAAATAATATAAAATATCTTGGTGTGACTCTAGCCAAGCAAGTGAAAGATCTGGATGACAAGAATTTCAAGTCCCTGAAGAAAGAAGTAGAAGAAGATCTCAGAAGATGGAAAGATATCCCATGCTCAAGGATTGGCAGGATTAATATAATAAAAATGGCCATCTTGCCGAAAGCAATCTACAGATTCAATGCAATCCCCATCAAAATTCCAACTCAATCCTTCATAGAGTATCCTTCATAGAGTTAGAAAGAACAATTCTCAAATTCATTTGGTATAACAAAAAACCCAGTAAAGTGAAAACTATTCTACACAATAAAAGAACTTCTAGGGGAATCACCATCCCAGACCACAAGCTGTACTATAAAGCAACAGTGAAAAAAAACTGCATGGTATTGGTACAGAGACAGGCAGGAAGATCAATGGAATAGAATTGAAGACCCAGAAATGAACCCACACACCTATAGTCACTTGATCTTTGACAAAGAAGCTAAAACCAACCAGTGGAAAAAGACAGTGTTTTCAACAAATGGTACTGGGTCAGCTGGAGATCAGAGTGTAGAAGAATGCAAATTGATCCATTTTTATCTCCTTGTACAAAGCTCAAGTCCAAGTGGAAATCAGTCTGGCAGTTCCTCAGAAAACTGGACATACTACTACTTGAGAACCCAGCTATACCATTCCTAGTCATATACCCAGAAGATGCTCCAATATGTAATAAGGACACATGCTCTGCTATGTTCATAGCAGCCTTATTTATAATATCCAGAAGCTAAAACCATCCAGATGTCCCTCAACAGAGGAATGAATACAGAAAATGTGATACATTTAGACAATGGAGCACTACTCAGCTATTGCAAACAATGACTACATGACATTCTCAGGCAAATAGATGGAACTTGAAAATATCATCCTGAGGTAACCCAGTCACAAAAGAAGACACATAGTATGCACTCAATGAAAAATGGATAATAGCCCAAAAGTTCAGAATACCCAAGATACAATATACGGAACATATGAAACTCAAGAAGAAGGAAGATCAAAGTGTGGATGCTTCAGAGTTTCTTAGAAGGTGGAACAAAATACTCACAGGAGGAAATGTGAAGATTAAGTGTTGTGCACAGACTGAAGGAAAGGCCATCCAGAGACTGCCCCACCTAAGCATCCATCCCATATACAGATTCCAAACCCAGACACTATTGTGAATGCCAAGAAGTGCTTGCTGACAGAAGCTTGATATAGCTGTCTCTTGGGCGACTCTGCTAGAGCCTGACAAATACAGAGGAGGATATCGACAGCCAATCGTTGGACTGAGCACAGCCTGAATGTAAGCATCTGAGAAGGAACTGAAGGAGCTGAGTGGGTTTGTAGTGTCATGGGGAGAACAACAGTGTAAGCTGACCAGACCCTCTTCAGCTCCAGGGGACTGGACCACAAAACAAAGATTACACATGGAGAGACCCATACCTCTAGCCACATATATGGTAGAGGATGGCCTTGTTGGACATCAGTGGGAGGAGCGGCCCTTGGGACTGAGGGGATTGATGCCTCAGTGTGGGGAAATTGCAGGGTGGGAAAGTAGGTGGGCGGGGGTACCCTCATAGAGGAAAGGGGATGGGGGTGATGGGATAGGTAGTTCCAGAGTGGAGACCTGAGACCTGGAAAGGGGATAATATTTGAAATGTAAGAAAAAAAAACAATAAAAGAAAAAAAACCTACATTTAAACTGAATTATTATAGGTCAAACTTTGAAAGAACAGAAAATATTGTAAACAGGCAGCGCTTTTGTGGAAATTTACAAGCCTGAGCAGTCATAGACCTTGTAAATAGGTAGCCTTGGCAGACAATACCAACTTAGATAAGGATAAGTGAGTCATAGGCAGAGTCATAGTGACTTGTCCCCTGAACCTTCACCCAGCCAATACCTGGTTCTGAAAGATATCTGTATTCCCCCTGAACACCCACACTCCAGTGTCATTCCCTTCCCCACATCCTGCCTTTCTGTGTTTATAATCCCTGTGTGAATGAATTACGATTTGAGAAAAAATAAATTATTTTTTTTAAAAAAAGAAAATATTGTCATCAGCCTTCAGTTACTGTGTCTCCTTAAGTTTGACCGACCTCAGTGTCTTTAGTCTGATTTTTTCAGATTTTTTTATTGGTTATTTTTCTTATTTACATTTCAAATGTTGTCCTTCCTTCCTGATTTCCCCTCTGAAATCTTCCACCCAATCCACCTTGCCCCTGCCTCTGTGAGTATGCTTTCCAACATACCCACCCACTCATGTCTCACTGCCTTGGAATTCTCCTACACTGGACAAACAACTTCTTATAAGCCTGTTAGGATATTATATTTGCATATATGTTGTAAGCAGTAATAATGGAGCATTTGAAAGTTTTTGTATATTTAATGTGTTCCTTTGAGTTATTTAATCAGTCCCAATTATAAGTCCCTACTTTCAAAAGTGTGCAACATTATAATCATTTTATTCTCTCTTGTCTTTTGAATGCTTTATTATATCCTTTTATTGAAAATAGATTTTTCTCACATAATACATCCTGATTATGCTTTCAACTTCCTCTACTTCTTCTAGATTCTTTCCATGTTCTCTCCTATCTTCAAAACATGAAATGAACCACAAATGTGCATATCACCCTTGCATAGGGACCAGGCTATTCTTTGTATCATTCCAATTTTAGTATATGTACAAACAAAGAAAACTGAAGAGTACTATATTTTATTCTTCCTTTTTTTGTAGAAACATTCTACTAATTTCTGTATAAACTATTCATACATTTTCAGTTAAAAAGATGTAACTTTGTCATTTCCACTAAAATCAGATATCCCAAAACATAACTATTCTCTTCTCTTTATTATAATTACTATTTTTATAGTGTAGTTGATTTTTTTACACTTAAATGTTATAAATTTTAAAATATTTGAATTTGCTAATATTTTTTACTCTGTTGCTTTGAATTTATTTTTCTCTTAATTGATATCCTCCGGGGTATTTTTCTTGTATGAATATTTTATGTCTTGAAATTAATTGGCTAGTCCTTTGAGGGACTCATAACATATTTATGTTACTTCATTTCTCAAACTACTTTTATTGTATAGACTCAGACGTTTCAATATGTAGTTTGGAAAATAGCTTCAGGCAAACAGGTTTTATACGTTCAGATCATATATTTTTTTTAATACTTCCATCTCTCATACTATTCACTGATTGAAACTTCTGAAGTTGTTCTAACAGACTTAACTGCAAGAGAGTAAGTATGATATCTTTTCTTTCCTTGTTTTAATCCAAAATGAGTTTGATTTATTTGCAAAAGTTGTGTAAATGATCATACATCAAAAAAATTCAAGCCCTTGAGTGTAAATGTTTTTTTGTTTTGCATTTTATTTATTTTATTTTTGAATATAACATTTTTAATTAACCCTTTAATTCCAGACTTTGACCTTCCCCTTCTTGTGTCCCCCTGCCTGTTTTCATTCTGAATACTCCCTTCTCTTTACCTCTGAGAAAGTGCTCCCCCTCCCCAGGCATCTTCCTTTTCTGGGGACTCAAGTATCTACAGGATTAACCACATCCTCTCCAACTGAGGCCAGACAAGGCAGTCCTCTGCTACATATGAGGGGAGGGGGTCACAAACCAGCCCCTGTATGCTCTTTGGTTGTTTGATTAGTTTCTGTTAGGTCCCAGGTATCCAGATTAGTTAACACTGTTGGTCTTCCTATGGGGTTGCCATTTCCTTCATTTCCTTCATTCCTTCCCTTAACTCTTCCACAGGGGTCCTGACCACAGTCCAATGGTTGGCTGTAAGTATGTGCATCTGTCTCAGACAGCTGCAAGTAGAGTCTCTCAGAAGACAACCAAGCTACGTTTCTGTCAGCAAATACAATATAACATCATTAATAGAGTCATGGTTTAATAGATCCCAAGTTGGGCCAGTCAATGGTTGCCCACTCCTTCAGTCTTTGCTCCATTTTTATTCTGCAGTTCTATTGGACAGGAACAATTTGGGGTTAAAAATTTTGAAGGTGGGTTGGTGATCTCATCCTCCCAATGTCTAACTACTGGAGGTAGTCTCTTCAGGTTCCATCTCTCCACTCTTGGGCATTTTGGCTATGGTTGCCCATATTGTGTTGTGGGACTCCCACATCCTACATCCCAAGTCTCTAGGACTTTGTAGAGGTTGCCCTACTTCTGGCAGCTGCATATTTCCACTCATTCTCCTGGCCCTTGGCTTCTCTCCTGTTCCTCTCCTCATATACTGGATCCTGTCCCCGTTTTCCCCTCCTGCTTTCTTCTACCACCCAAGTCATTCCCTCCCACTACCTCCTGTGGTTATTTTGTTCTCGCTTCTAAGTGGTATTCAAACATCCTCACTTGGACCTTCTATATTGTTTGATTACTTTAAGGAATATCATGGGGTGTATCCTGGGTATTCTGTACTTTTTAGCTGATATCCACATATAAGTGAGTGCATAACATGAATATCTTTTGGGAGCTGGGTTGCCTCATTCAGTTTGATAATTTCTAATTCCATCCATTTGCCTGTAAAATTAATCATGTCCTCATTTTTTGTTTTATTGTTGTTTGTTTGTTTTTATTGTTTTACTTATTCACTTTACATCCTGCTTACTGCTTCCCTTCTAGTCACCCCCTTCCAAAATTCTTCCCCTTATTCCTTTTCTCCTTCTCCCCTGAGGATTGGTATCCCCCCATCTTGGCACTTCAAGTGTCTGTGAGGCTAGAGACTTATTCTCCCACTAAAACCAAACAAGCCAGCCCATCTAGAAGAACATAGCCCATACACAGGCAACAGGTTTTAGGATAGCCCCCATTCCAGTTGTTTGGGACCCACATGAGGAACAAGCTGCACATTTGTTACATACATGTGGGGAGGCCTAGGTTCAGCAAGTGTGTATAGCATTTTTTGGTTGGTGCCTCAGACTTTGAGAACCTCAAGGGTGCAGGCTATTTGACTCTGTTGGTATTCCTGTGGAGTACCTATCCCCTTCGGTATCTACAGTCTTTTCTCCTATTCTTCCATTGGAGTCTCCAAGCTCCATCCACCCTTTTACTGTGGCTGTGTCTGAGTCAGCTACTGGGTGGATCCTTTCAGAGGACTACATGCTCCTATCTGCAAGCATAACAATGTATCTTTAATAGTGTTATAGATTGATATTTGCCCATGGAATGGGTGTCAATTCCCTCAATCTCTCCTCTAACACCTGTGCCTGCAATTTCACTAGATAGAATAAATTTTGGGTTGAAAGTTTTGTGGCTGTGTTATCTATATTGCTCCATAAGGGTTCCTACCTGGCTACAGGAGGTGGCCTCTTCAGGTTCCATATTCCCAATGTTGTGAGTCACAGCCAAGGTAACCCTTATCCCAAGTCTCTATCTTGTTCAGAAATGCCCACCACCTCATCATTCTCATCACTGGCAGATTTTCATGGCCATCTAGCCATCTCAGCTGCCCTTCCCTACACCTGATCCTAACTCTCTATTCTACTCTCTATTCTCCCTCTCTCCCTGCCAGGTAGCTTCCTTCATATTTAACTCTTGAATGGAACATGAGATGAATAGCAGAGATATATTATCAGATGCATAGATGTAGGCAAATTACTATCTTGTAAAATCCAGAAAAATCCTTAGATTTAAAATATTCTTGTTCTCTAAATCCATTTTTTCACATTTTCAGTATACATTTCTTGAACTGCCTATCTGCACTCAAGACTAAGGTTTTCAGGGGTAGCATTTTCTGTTGTCTTCACTTTTGTTTCTCCATCATATTCCTTTGGTTATTTCTACACTGCGATGTTTTAACTTTTTCTAAAATGAAGTTCAGCAACTGGCATTGATCATATAAATTTAACAGTATTGAAGGGAGAGCAGCATCTTGATACAACCACGGGAGAAGGAAAAGTATGGATAGAAAATGAAGCATGAGAGAGAGAGAGAAAAAAGAGATAAATAAATATATATTTATGCTGTCACAATATATTTTAAAGACAACATTTATAACACAGACTTACACATAACATTTGCAGTGGCTTTCCAGATCTTCAATAAGCATGTTAAATTAAATTGGCCCCTATGAATCTTTTCAGAATTTAGTTGACAATTTTCTTAAAATTACAAAGAATTCTATTAGGAAAATGTTTGTATGAGAAACCAACTAACCAATTCACTGATATTTCCTATGTTAAAATGTCTGTATAGTTCCCAGCTGGTGAAACTTTGATATTGTGAATATTATTTGATATTCAGAGAAGTTACATTGCTGTACTCTCTGCCTGAACTCTTCATTAACCTAGTTCCCAGTTGACATGTAGGTGACTCAGAGGAAATGTAGATGTCCCCTTTCTAAAATCCAGACTCTGAAGGCCATCAGTGTTTTCCTTCCTCTCACTGCACTCCAAGTGACAGTGTCTTTGTCTTATTATCATGTTCACCTACTTTCTCTTTTTTTTTTATCTTTGGATTTAATGCAGAAGCCACTAGCTTACTCCCTCCTGAGTTGTAATCTTGTTACCTACCATTTGCTTTTACATGAAAAAAAAAAAAAAACATGAAAACAACTCTGCTCTTTGCTTATAGAGAGACTCCCAAATCCTTAGCATAAACAGCAGCATTGTCAGCAGGGTTGGAATATGCAGAAACAGCCTTTCCCATTGTCCTTTTGAGTTGATTATGCTTCCTTCTCCCAGGCCTCCTATGTTACTTCATGGCCAATGGCCCTGCTACTCACCTATGCAGTTCTTGCCACATGTTATTTTTCCTTTTGTTTTTTTTCTCTTCTCTATGATTATTTCTGCCAAAATTGTTATTGAATAATTGGTAATCCATCCTTAATTTTATGCTCTTTTCATTCCTTGAACCCATTTGAACCTCAATTCTGACAGAAGTCTGTCTCTGGATTTTGATCAGTCGATCACAGTCATGACTTTGGAGTGCTCCCGGATGTGCCTCTATCACACTTAGTGTTACTGTTTGAGACATTACACACTTATTCATTCTATCTAATGATCAACTTTTGCCACTTGCAAGTGAGCACTAATCCTTATATCTCAAGCCCAGTTTGTCTTTTGTTGAATAACATAAGTAAACTAGCAGATTTCTCACTTTCCTCCAAGTTGTATGAAATTATATAATGATATACTCAATTTAAATTTAAGAAGGAAATAAACATTTTTGTGGAAGATTCATAATTTAATCTTATTTCATACTACTATTGCTTTAAGATTGGTGTTGCCGAAAGATCTTAAAAGCAAAGTGCTAATATTTTATAATTATATGAATAATGAATTGGCAAATACAATTTCCAAATACTTAGCTGTCCCTTTGAAAATAACATAGACCTCAGATCATGAGATCATGGGAATTCTAAGCAGAGAAAAATGTGTGTGTGTGTGTGTTTGTGTGTGTGGTGTGTGTGTGTGTGTGTGTGTGTGAGAGAGAGAGAGAGAGAGAGAGAGAGAGAGAGAGAGAGAGAACTATAAAACTGGGTTTCTGGAAAAACAAAGAATGCTAAAGAGATAGTGAAAGAGATAGAAGATAAATGGAAAATTAAGTTAATGACATCATCCACTCTTCTATCACCTACTTTAAAAAATCTATTGCTTGGAAGACAATTGAAAACTAATGTAGTGTATAATAGATGCAGAAACTTTTAATTGGGGGAGAAAGTTATCACATAACAGAATAAGCA